CTCGGGGTTCGGGGCTATTGCCCTGACAATCTACAATGGACCATCCTGGAAAATTACACAAAGGAGGGAAGTCTGAAACACTCTTTTGTTTGATTTCTACTCTTTACTTGAAACCCTTTTAGTCTATAATTGAACCATTACATTCATTTTACATTTTAAATCCCAATTTTACTACATGATGCTCATAAATGTAGAATAAGGATGACCCAAGTGCAGTCAAAACACAGTCTAATCACCTGTGGATCGCAGCTTGGTGGCATTTTTGCACAGTTAAAGAATGGAAGATAATCAGCATGAAAATTCAACATTATCCAGTTTGAGGGGAGTACATAGGAAAAACCCTGTAGAAGTAAGAAAATAGAGAGCTCTGTGAGTCACTGGAGGGTCTCCATGATTGATGCTGTGATTGTTTCCATAGTCACATGATGAAGAATTGCATTCCACCCTACCAACACAGCCACATTCCACACTGTGTTGGATGTGTATGGAAATCCCAGATTCAGAACATTGCACTACAATTTTCCCTAATTGACTGAGGTTGTAGTGGGAGATGGCCAGCCACATGCAGCTTGTTCTCCACACCCACACCTGTATAATCCTGACCCCTTTTGGTTCCATCACATTTGCTATCAGTTATATATCTAGTTCCCTTGTAGCCCTGACTCTCCATCCCATTTGATGCCCCCATTTTTCATTACTTGCTGTTGACAAGTACCACCCCTAGATCAGCTTGAGCCCTTCAGATGAGCGTTCACCAGACAAACCAGCTATTCTATCAGCTATTCTATGAAGGGTGTACCACCAATCCTGCTGCTTACAAAGAGAGTGAGAAGAAATGTGCTGTTGAGTATCCTTTATATGGCCTCTATCAGAAGATGCTGGAGATGGTCATTGGTCACTGCATAATCCCTCAAGGCTCCATTATGCAATATCCACAATGACCTTTGAGCCCAATCAGTGATGAGGAAAGGAAAACTGCTATTCCCCATATCACTCTGGTATGGCTCCAAGAGGTAACACACTCCCTAATGGTAATTGAGATTAAGAGCCACCCAATCATGGATCCTGGTTTCATCAGCAAACCTGGATGTGGAGGCCTGAGAGCTCATAGAGCTCATAGAGCTATATTTGCACACAGGGGACTATGATCTATATGAGCTCCCTGAGTGTTTAATTTACCCAATATTGAAATTTAAAAGCATTGACTATGGCATCATGTGCCATAGCTGAGTCCCTACCATACAAGGGACTGAACAAACTCAGCTTAACTTTCAGCACCAATGCAGCACTGCACACTAAGGGTATGTAGCCCAATCAATATATAGACCAAATTTAGGGATATAAATGCAGTTAATCTGAAATTACTTAGGGAAAATGGGGGGAAAATGAGGTGAAAATTGAGGGGGGGGAATTGGGGGGGATGAGGGAGAAAATGAAGGGGGAATTGGGAGGGGGAATGAGGGGAAAATTAAAGGGGGGAAATGGGGGGAAAATGAGGGGGAATGAGGGGGAAAAGGAGGGAGGAAATGGGGGGGTAATTGAGGGGGGAAAATTTGGAGGGGAGAATGAGGGGGAAATGAGGAGAAAATTAAGGAGGAATTGGGGGGGAATGAGGGGAAAATTGAAGGGGGGATGGGGGGGGGGAATTGAGGGGGGATGAAGGGGAAAATGGGAGGAAAAAATGAGGGGGAACTGGGGGGTTTCTAAAAACTTGAAAAACGGTCAGGGAAAATTAAGGAAAATTCAGAAAATGGGGGACTTTTTAAAAAAGGAGAATGTCAAAAAATCAGGGGAAATTAGGGGGAAAATCAGAAAATTTGGGATAAGTTAGGGAGAGATATTTCAGGAAATTAGGAATAATTGGAAAAAACAATTAAATCACTTTTTTGATAATTCAATGTGCACTGGAAAGTGCCAAAGTGGGGCAATGTAGCAATGTATGTTTCAGTGTTAGAAAAGTCTCCCACCATGTTTTGGTGAGCCAAATAACCATGGCTTTTTAACCATTGGAAATTTGGTGTCAAAGGCTTGGATGATATCTAAAGAGTTGCTTTATTGGGTGGTATTTTTAATTTACTTCATTTGGAACACTTTTTCAAAACTGATTTATACCCTACATAACATGCATGGTTACATTGCCACACTTTGGTGCTTTCCAATCCACATAGAACCATCAAAATTGGTTGAGTTTTGAGCAAGAAATGAGATAAAAGATAAAGTGCAAAGTTTGAATTTCAGAGTTCCCCTCATATTTTGTAAATAGCAATAAACAAATAAAGTGCTGATTTTAGTAAACACAAAAGGTATATGAGCTTTCAGAGCAATGACAATGGCCAATTTTACACACACATATATCCATATTATCTTTGCACTACTGGTGCCAAAATAACTAAGCAGATTTCATGGAGATATGAAGACCATCCATTATTTAAAAACAAAAAGTAATGATGCTGGCCATTTAATATGCATTTCTAAAAATGTATATATATATTATCTTTGCACTTCTGCATCCTTAGGAGAACAAAATCATTCAAACATTTAATTTTCTCCACCCAATGTGTAGAGGGTGCACAGCAAAATGACCCAATTTTCTCAAGAGCTCTGTGAGCTCTGAGAGCTCCCTACCAAGTTTGCTGATGTTGTTTCCCCCCTTTGAATCATTGTGTGTAGAATTGATGGTGGGTTCATAGTGCCAAACAAAGTTTGGCTCACAGAACACAGTAGGGGTTTGTTCCTACTCATTGTTATAGAGCATGTAATTGTCTGGAAGTGGGGAAGGGACTCAGGAAGGAGGGACCTTGGCCTCAGTGACTCAGGTGGAGCGCTGTGCTGTTGGTTTGTTGTCTAAGGTGGTCCTTAATGTCAGGTTAGCAGGGGGAGTCTCTTGGGGGGACAATCCAGTCGATTCTGGTTCTCTAGTCATTGATTTCAGACTAGGGGTACAGGAAACTATGTACAGAGTGTATATACATATAATAATACTGGAGTGGAGTCAGAGGACAAATGGGGACTGGATGAGGGAACAACCCCAAGGGTCAAGGGTTGGGACTCTATGGTGCTTCCCAAAAGGGCAAGGCCAAGAGGGGAAGGAGTGGAGGGGGTTGTGGGGAATGACAGCTGACTAATATGGAAAGGAAGCAGCTGTCTAAACAAGGAAGAGGCAACAAGAGGATTAAATGACACCATACAGTAGAGACTGCAGGGTCCAGAGTAAGTTCCAGAGGTCCGGAGTCAGAAGTCAAAGTCTGGAATATTGGCTAGATGTAATAAATGAAATGAAATAAGGAATACAAGGAGATAAGATGGAGGAGGAGGTCAAAGTCCAGAGGCGGAGATGTGACTGGAGTTCTGGAGGTGGAGGTGTGATGGGGTTCCAGTACAGGAGTCCGGAGCTGGAGGTATGGAGCATTGCAAACTCTGGTCTGGAAGGCATGAGGTTGGGATTGGACCCAGAGTAAACCAGAGTTGGATTGGAGGTAGTGTTGGACTGTAGGGAGTGGTAACCCCACCCCTTATTTCCCATTACATCATTGTATAATTTTCTTGTAATAAACATGTGTATACAAAGTACATACAATAGTGTGGGAAAGTGGAAAGAGCAACTTAGCCTTTTCTCCCATACTGTTGCAAATAATAACTTCATACAAGTTACTTTTGTTGGCAGCCTGAGGAACTAAGCTAACCAGGGTTGGCACCTACACCAACCCCTTACATGGACGTTGTGTTGGAGCCAGGGGTAGAGTGGGCTCTCAACAACCAACAGGGGAGGAGGAGGTGGAGAATGTGGAGTTCTGGAGGAGGAGATGGAAGTCCAGAAACAGGAGTGGAGGTCCAGAGTTGTATGGATATGACAGGACCCAACACTAAGCGTTACCAAACATAGGCACAGTGCTCCCCTCTGAGTTGCTGAGGCCACAGTCCTTCCACTCATCCTCTATCTCCAGCCTCCCTTCCAAGGAAAGGTCCAGACATGCCCCTCCTGGCCATGTTCTGAAAGGAGACAAAGGGAGCTGGAAGGGGGAACAACACTGAGGGTACTCAATGGTGCTTCCCAAAGGAGGAGTGAAGGGTCAAGGCCCAAGGAGGAAGGAAGGAGGATGGGAGTCAGGAATGGCTAGCTGACTGAATAGAAGGAAGCAGCAGCCCAAATAGGAATGAGGGAGAATAGTGGAATTGAAATGGGACAATGCAATAGTTGCAAGGTCCGAAGTAAGTCTGGAAAGTCTGAACTCAGAAGTTAAACTCTGGAATATTGGCAAAGGTAAACAAATGGAATTGGCTAACCAATACAATGGGTATAAGCAGAGGCAGGGTCAAAGTCTGAGGTTGGAGCTAAGACCGGAGTTCTGAGATGGAGATGTGAACAAGATTCTGGAGTGGAGGTCCGGAGTTGGGAGCATAGTTGCATACTCATCTGGAAGGTGTCAAGGTTGAGGTCAGACCTGGAATGTTCTGGAGTTGGACCAAAGGTGGTGTCAGAGCCAGAGGTGGGATAACCTCTTGGGAGTCAGCAAGGGAGAGGGTGGTGAAATGGAAGTGGGGCTCTGGAGTCAGTGTCAGAGTTCTGGGAGCCTGGAGCAGAGGTTAGGATTGTATGGATATGACACAACCCTTCCCAATGTGGGCTGTCTTGACATAGTCATGTCTCCAAAGTGGTTTTCAAACAATGATTTAAGGTTAGCATAGGACTGTTGTAGTCTATCTACCTCTTGTTTCCTTTGTTTCTCTTTTATTCTTCTCTTTATATAGTCACATTAACACTACAGTTCGACTCAGGAGTGCCTATAAGCTGAGCTGCTATAAGGACTGCAAGAGTGTAGGGTGACACCCATGAACCATTTCAAAGCAGTCTCATTTTTGAGCCAGGCACCAAAGAACATCAATCTCATGAACTCATTATTAAACTAAGAGGGAGAAACGTGATTTGATATAAGCTTGGTCACCTGACAGCTTGCCAGGGCTGGTGCAACTGTGGCAGCAGCAGCAACAGTATTCTGCAAATGGATCTGAAAGGTCTCCATCAATGTTTGCTGTTCTTGCTGCTGAGCCTGGATGGTGTGCTGTTGAGCTTGGATCGTGGCCACCAGGTCCTGTGTTGGACCATCTGCTGCTGCAAGAGGTTTATCAGGGCATCCAGATTGAATGTGACAGAGCCTTGGGCAGGGTTGGGGCTGGAAGCCATAGGGGAGTCTGAGATTGACATGTTGTTGTTGTGGTTAGAGCTGATTAAAGAAGAACCAGTCATGAGAAGCAAGGTGGGTCACGAGGAAACAAGGGCCAAGGTGAGTAACCTGTGTTGATCAGCTGAGGATAACCTTAGCTAATCCATAGGGTCGTGCATCCTTATTGTATTTCAGTCCAAGCAAGATAAACTCCCCATTTCGAATTCTATCACCAACTCTCCCAACTCTTCCTGCTGCTAATCCATTTCAGCACTGCAAGCTGGTTTTGAACGCTATGGACTTTCCCCAGGCCCCCCCCCAAATACATACCAAAGGCATATTGATGCCACCCAATTAAAGCACATCAATCTAACAATGCAAGGGGATGGCTTTGCTGGAGTGCAGGTCTACCTGCCACTGAACACTCCAGGAATGTCATATAAAGCATGGGTGAATGCCCATAAAAGCTTTGTCACTCTACATGAGGACAATCCATCATATACTGCAATGGTTTGGAGCAATATACCAATGGTTTGAGGAGAGCAGGGAATGGTTCAGTTGGCTATTGCAGCTGTAAGGTGCTATTTCAGTTGAAGGGGCCAATGAAGAGTGGGATGATGTGTTCAAAGCCAAAACCTATGCACTTTGGGTGGCAATCACAAGGGTTTTTGAGGGCAACTGTCAGAAACAGTATTTGAGGTATTCAAGGGGAGTGCAGTGGCATGAGTGAACACTTAGCTATAATGCTACTCCATTGCAAGGTGATGTAGAAGTTGGGACTTCAGCTTCAACAACTCAGCTGGAGTGTTGTGCCACATGTTCTAGGCTGTCCCATATTTCAGGTTAGCAGGAGAGGACCTTGCAGTGACATTGACTCAGGTGAAGATGAAGTTTACAGGCAAAATTAAGGACAAGAGGACTTGGGGGGATTTCTAGTCAATATTTGAACTAAGGTACATAGATGGTAACCTACAAGTATAAATATGAGAAGGAGAACAGAAGAGAGGCTGGTCAGTCTGGCACCTGAATGGGAAGTGGAGTGGTGAGTGCAGCAAACTAAATGAGGGACATGAACCAGGGAGGCAGAGGGTGAAGGAATGAATGAGAGCAAAATAAACAATTAACAGAGAAGATGAAATAGAGAGGTAATCTGAGAGAACTGACAACCTGGGTGCCAATATGGTGATGGATCAAGTGTCAATATAAGGGTGGATCAAAATAATATTAACCTCTAAGGAGAGTTAAGTGAGTGGAGAGCATGTGGTGCTTGTGTCACGGTGTTAGACACTGGTCCAGGGTCGGCACCGAGGGTCGCCACTGTGGGCCGCTATAGGCCGCAATGGCCGTGATGCCACGAACAAGGCCTGGGGGTAGGGCATTTGGCCTCAGCAACTCTAAAGGGAGTGCTGTGCCCCTAGCTGTCTCTTGGCCCTCATTTTGGACCCACTGGGGTTGCCTTGTTGGGGTCAGGACTTAGGGGTCGTGGTCTCATCGATATTAGAGCTAAGGTACTATAATGTAGTATACAGGATATATATAGGAGGAAGGAATGAATGGAAGCGGACCCGGGCCGAAGGCCAAAGGGTCCGGAAGCAAACATGAATAAGGAGCGGGGTTGGCTGCACAGTGGCCAGCAATGACCGAGGGTCAAAACAAACAATAACAGATAAATAAAGGAGGGAGCGTAGGGCCGCGATAGCGGCGATGGTATCATAGCGGCGCTGGACTCGGAGTTGGGTCGGAGTCGGGCGCGGGAATGGTAGCGGCCCTGTAGGGGCCAAGTGGGCGGGGTAGAGGAGTCACGCTGGGCATGGTGCCGGAGGCGGACTCGGGGCAGGAAGGTTGGTGTGGCTGTGGGGAAGTCGGCCAGGTGCAGGGGAGCCTAGGGGCAAGTGGGGGAGTGAGCAGGGAGTCCTCATGAAGGATAGGGCTGAGGTCGGGGCTCGCACTCACGCTCGCATACCGGTAATGGGCTCGGGTGGCATCGGGACAGGTGGGGAATGGGCTGGAATGCACGGCCGTGACACACGGCCATGCATTCCAGCCCATTCCCCACCTGTCCTGATGCTGCCTGAGCCCATCCTGCTGCACTGGAGGGAAAAGCCAGTAGTACCCTGACACTGCTATATCATGGCCTACAGACGTTACCTAGCACCTGACACACAGTCCCCCAGTCCCCCAAAGCCCGTTGAATCTCCCCTATCATCTTCGTATTTTTTGATAATTTTTCAGACCAGGTTACGGCCCACCTGGACATGTTACTGGGCCGCTTTCACAGTATTTTCACCATAATTCCCCCAGTTCTTCTCCGATCCAGATGCACTTGGTATCGTTGGAAAGCTACCATCAGGACGAGTCCAATATCAGGAGATTTGGTGCAGCCATTGTGGAGATTGTCTGAATTTATCGATTGTGTGGCCATTCCTATATATTTTTTATGTTTTCTGTTGTTTTCTTTGTTCTATGTTGTTCCATCTGCATCTGTCCATCCCTAACACCATCGGATTGCTCGGACTTTAGTTCAGATGACCATGGTTTATATACAAAATGTATCTAGTATGATACAGAGATTCTCCCCTCTGCCCCGCTAAGTACTAGGTCTGTGTGCCTGGGGTGGTGTCTGAGTGCTTGCAGTCTTGGGGACAGTGCTTTGCAGGCAGTACTGCTAGCCTGTCTTCCAGGGAGGTCCACCTAGTGTTGATTTTTTAGGCTGAGTTAGTTGGGACCAGGGTCACAGTGAGTCTGAAACCCCAGGTGCCCTTTCCACCCCCCTTTCTTCTTTCCCTTTGTGAGGGAGCAGCTGGAGAGTGGCGACACAACCCTTGACTGTGGTCTAGCTGTCCTCCCTGCTTGCAGCACAAGCCCTGACTGTCATATCCCAGATCTTCTGCCTCCCTCTCTATCACTACATGACTCCTATGACCTCCACCAGCCCTCCCAATCTCTCTCTGTTGCCTCCGGTCGATGCCAACAGCCCTAGGACTACCTCCTCCTTTGACACTCTCCTGCTCTGCCACCCACCTACGTCCGCATCACCTCTGGACCTCCACCACCATACCACCACCTCCTCAGACACCTTGTTCAAAGGAGTTGGTTTTGCTCGTTGTTGATAAATCTCAACTTGCTTATCCACCCTCCTTCCAACTGTCATATCCATTCCCGGCCATCGACTTCCGGTCCCTCCGTTCCCTCCAGTCTAACTCCACTCCTCCTTCACTAACCTCGGAGCTCCCGTATTCCGCAATCCTCTCGGCACCCCTCGATGGTCACCACCCCCTCATTTCAACTTATTACCTACGCCTCCCTAAGTACGGAGCCCCAAAGACTTCCGGACAGCTCTGACGTCCGCTAGCGCACCCCCGCCTCCGCTGGGCAATACAATCGCCTGCCCTGCAGAGCCCACCTTTGGGCTTATCCCTCCTTTCCGTTTCTGGGTTATCGCCTGCCTTTCTGCTAACCCCACGACCCGACTCGTCGGTAATATTCAGTCAGCTAATGTTAACCCCATTAGCTCCGCTCCGTTCGGCTCCGCCAATTGCGGACCCGTCTTCGCTGTAACCATATATATACCCCGCTTGTACATAGGTTACCCAGTAATAAAATCAACTAGAGTTACCCCCCTTAGGTTCTAATTGCCAGTCAGTAAGTTAGGGCACGGACGTGTCACTAGGCACAGCGCTCCTGGCAGAAGTCGCTGAGGCTGAAGCCCTCCGCTATGGAGACATTCCTTCGTCTCGAATCTGGTCTCTGACACCAACCTCCAGTCTCCACACCTCCAGTACCTCCTCATTCCTATCTTACCTCTGGTCTCAATAATCCTTATTGTTTTACCATTTGATATTTTCTACAACCCCAATCTTCCGGACTACAACTTCCAGGCTCTGGACCTTTCCAGACGCCTCTTCTCTGTAGTTCCCTGCTTGTTCATAGATGCTTCCAGACCTTGCCATTCAGTTGGCTCTTAATTCTCCCACTCCACAAAACCTCAGACATAATTCAGGCTTTTCGCCTAATCCTTATTTGTCTTGTGGATTCTTTCTATTTACTTCCCCTTCTCCTTGGTAACCTTTGTTTACCTTCGGATCCAATTGTTTCCACTATATGTACGCACATTGTTGTGGGGACAACTCTGTGTACCGCAAAAAGTCGGATTCTGCAGAATTTGGTCACCAACACAGTACATATCCGCTGACGCTCCCGATACTCATTCTATCACTATCCAACACTCCATACACTCACTCCATATTTTTCCATATTTTCCCCATCATTCCCAACAACCCCACGCCCAACCATGCCACCAATTTCACCCCCTCTCCAGACCTCCATACCCACACACACAACCCAGCCGTTTTTCCACCCGATAGTGATGCTCTACCACCCTTCTTCACCCCCGGAGCATTTCCCAGAATGGCAACCCCATATCCGGATGGTTCAGCATGGAGTATACTCTCATGTGGTCTTGACAGCACCTGTCAATGGCCACATCTCAAGAAGTACTGCACCAAATGGGACGAATAGGGGCTCGTTGGAAAGCTGGAGACGAGGAGGTTGCTGACGAGAGGATAGGCGGGCGCTATGGCGAAGTGTTGCGGAGTTAACCTTCAAAATTTCCATTTTGGACCCGTTATCACATATTCCCCATTCATTCATTTTTCTATTATTGTTTCTTTGTTCCCAATTGGATATTCATCATTTACGGTTGCCTAACGGCCCGTTTACATTCCCCCATGCCATTCATTCCATTTCAAACATATATAAACTAGATAACAGCTTGTGCATAACAAGTTAGTAATGAATAGACCTGTGAAAGAGAAAGCAGAAGTTGCATCCAAGTGGCAAAGACACCATCCATGACTCTAACGCCTCCCCTGAGTTACTTGCTTACATCTGAGACCCCTTTCCTCATAACCCTCGGCCTTGATGTCCAAGAGAGACGTAGGTGAGTGTTGAGTTGAGGCTCTAACAGACCCGCTAGCACCCCAGGACCCAAAAACCTGAACCTCCATCACACACGCATTCACTACCACCCTCCCCCCCTTTCTCTGTCTCGAGTCTAGGCGATAGACCCGTTACAACGTACCCTTCTAGTAAATAGTCCCCCAGTTATAATATAAACAGTCTTCAGCCCTCCAAAACCTCTTCCAGGATGTCTATCGCATCCCACTTGTCTGCTGCTCCTAAGAACTGAGTAACAGGCACTCCCAGAGATGCCTTGGTATAAACCCAACGAATTGCATGACAAACGATTGACCCTCGCTAAC